TATATAAAATGACATTCAGTATAAAATTACTATATTTATCCATGACACACGTACGTGTGTGTGTGTGTGTGTGTGTGTGTGTGTGTGTGTGTGTGTGTGTGTGTGTGTGTGTGTGTGTGTGAGTAAATATAAAGTGGTGGTGTTATTGAAAGAGTGTTCATATTTGCATAGCACCAAAACTTTATGTGCAATTCATATGTTTATATTAAAAGCTTGAAAATGAAGTTTGAAACACTTCCAAGCTTGCCAATAACCGAATTATTTAATTTCAATGCGAAACAAAAGGCCCATAAAATATTGCAAAACAAAAAACGACCCCCTCCTGAAAAACACACTGAAACAAAAAATATATCATCCTACGAACTAACTCTATCACATCTACAATCGAAAAGAATATATATATATATGAATAAAAAGAAACCAGAGGAAAAACTGTACTTAGTCCACGCATTTCTTCTTCTGAGGGTCTTTCTTTCCCCCTCTGTCTTTATTTATTTTGTCTGTTCTACAGATACACTCAATCTAAGAATATTTACACACACACACACACACATACACACACACACACACACACACACACACACACACACACACACACACACACACACACACACATATTTTTTTAATTTTTTAGTCGGTATCACCACAAGCAAGGCAGTACAGCCACTAGAACTCAAGTGGTTACAGGGTGTGAAGGAATTAGGAACAGAAACATAAGTAATGAGGAGAAAAAGAGTATTCAGGAGGATAAGAGATAGTGATTGACACTGCATTTAAATTTTTGCAGATTAAAGTTGACTGGAAAGCATAGAACTAGGAGGTAGTTCCACAAGCGAGGAGTGCGAGATAAGATACTGTTACAGCTACATGTAGCTAGCTCAATTGTAAATTGATGAGATCGCGCCTCTAGTCTAGTACCCCACTTAAATTCATATTGTCTAGGCCCCATAGGGAAGAGCTCAAACGAATAATTACCGTGAAAATATTTATAAAAAAGGCACAGAGAGGGAACCTTACGGCGGTGGGCAAGTGACTGAAGAGACGGCGTAATGAGTCACTTTCCTGAAGGATAGCATCAGCCATGCTGATGGAAGGCAGAAATTTAGTTTTAGAGGCATTTAATTTAACAAGTCATCTTTTGCCCCAGTTAACTACGGATTTGAGGTTGTTTTGGACATCGACTGCCATTTTGACCTTGTCGGACTGATAAGCCTTACTATCGAGGCAGGAGTAAATTATTGTGACGTCAGTATAAATACCAAGTTGAGAGCTGATGTCATCTGGAGGGTCGTTAATGAAGATTAAAAGCAGCGTAGGACCAAGGCTCGAACCCTGGGGAACACCAGCGTTAGTACAAAAGGATATAGAGAAGTATCCGTTCAGGGCAACTTTCATTTCACGATTTGATAGCGACGCTTGAATCAGCTCAAAAACATACCCGGGGATACCGTAATTTTTCAGTTTGTGGTAAAAACCTGAATGCCAGACCCTGTCAAAGGCTTTCGAGATGTCCAATGCTACAGCCTAGGCTTCACCTTTTTTTTTATCTAGAGCATGATAGACTCTTTCCGCAATTATCGTTAGTACATCAGCAGTTGGTCTGGAGAAACGAAAGCCATATTACTTGCCTGAAAAAGGCCCTGGGATGAGAGATGATAAATCATATCAGTATTGATTAGGGCCTCTAGGAGTGTCCCCCAAAAAGGCAGAAGGCTAATAGGCCAATAGTTGGATGGGCCAAACTGTTCACCAGTGTTCTTAAAACTGGAACAACAGACGATAACTTCTAGCAGGCAAGAAAGCAAGACTGGAATGCGAGACATTTATTCTACAGTTTAGAGAGAACAGGAGCCAGTTCGGAAGCATACTTCTTAATGACTATTACAAGGTTAGAGACAATAGTAGAAACCATGGAACGGGTTATATGCATTACTCAACAGACACTCAGTTCTAAGTGGAAAGTAGGCAGGGATACTCCAGATGAGTCAAGAGTATGAGGAGAATTTACTGGCAAAGCATTCACCTTTATCAGCAGAGGATGATAACACCTCAAATCGATTGTAGAGCATGGTGAATAGAGACCTTGCACTTATTTAGTACCCTATTACAGAGACGCCAGTAATCACGAGAACCAAAGTTTTTAGAGGCTGTGCGGTGGCTCATTTTCTCAGCCAACAGGGACTTGGCTTCTTCGAGGATTCGCTTACTTTTATTCCGAGCAGTAGTAAATAGGCACCTGTTATTTTGAGAGCGGTCACGCTGGTATAACCGGAAATACTAGTATGAACCATGGAGACGATTGAGGTTTCACCTGGTATTTCCAAGAAGGGATGAAAGGTTCTATACCGGCTTTGACCCAAGAAGAAACCAGAGTGGCGCAATTTTCAATTGGGAAGTTGAAGATGTCAGTCCAAGAGGCGTTATGAAGAAAATCTTGGAATAAATCCAAATCTGCGTGCTACTACCGGCAATCAGTCTTATAGATATTGGGGGTCCTGTTTATTGGATGCTTGGAAGGAGATATCAATAGCTACTACAGAGTGGTCCGAGTTACCAAGAAGGCAGTATTGTGAAGCTCGGCAAGAGCGAGAAGAGGAGGAGTTAAGAAATTGATCCAATAGAGAAGCATATTGCTCGGTTTGACTAGGGAAACGAGTAGGGAAGTCCACGATTTGAGTCTGTATACCGACAACATCAGTACATTTAGAATATTTCAGCCAGATTCGTGATAAGAATTAAAGTCACTGAAGAGAAAGATATTCGCAGATGGATGGAGAGAAAATTTTTTTTCTATACTGTCAGCTATTGCGTCAAATATACTGCAGTCATTGGAAGAGAGGGAGCGATAAAGGAAAAAGAAATAGCTGACAGAGTTTAGTAGCACATGAAAGTGTAGTCAGCGGTCTCGAGAGATAATTCCCTGGCCACCGGAAGATTGTCCTGGATGTAAACACCAAGGCCTTGCTTGTGAATGTTGGAATCTTTTTGGTAAAGGGAAAGATACCCTAGAACCAAGAATTCATTGGTAGCAATGGAAGAATTCAAGTTGGTTTCAGAAACTGCAAAGATATCTGGCGACTTTTCCAAGAGAAAAGATGCTACACTGCAGAAGTACAAACGGATACCATCAATATTAGAGAAAGAAAGATTGGGAAGAGTAGGTAGTTTTTTGTTAGCTGGTTTAATTTTATTTCTTTTTGTTGTGATTTCCATGAGATATGTTTTGAGGAGAGAAAAAAAATTGTCACTATCTATCATCAATGGCAATACAAACCGGCCAGTGCGTAGCTGAGAGCAGGAAATACATGCAGGGACACCTACGCATGCGCGACATGACACTACAGATTCCCCGATATTATACAACTGTTGATCGGAGCTGCCCTCTCTAAGCGCTACTAAAAAAATTCAGACACCAGTCGGAAGCAGCATCCAGCAAAATGCCAACCCGATACCCTCATAATGGAAAGTCACATCCACTGGTTAGTCTGATTACCAAAGAGTTAAGACAGTTAAATCATTGTGGCCTGGTAAGCGAGAGAAAGAGAATTGGTAAACCATATCCTGAACAGGGAACAAGAGATGAACCTCTACTCCTGTTCAATAGACATGAAAAAAGTGCAGAGCGGATGATAGGTAAGCCTATCTGCTCCCATAAGCCTGTTTAAAAAAATTGGAAAAGAACTCATGTTAAGTAACGACTTAATATAACTTCTGATGTCTATTACCATCTTAAAATCGAGATGAGGTATCCGCAAACGAATGCCAATTTTCAAATATTATATATATATATATATATATATATATATATATATATATATATATGTATATATATATACAATTTAATGAAGCATATAAAAATGCCTGGTGGACGGGGGCGAACTAATAACTAACTAGTTAATAACAATGTACACGGCATCAGATACAAAAACAAGGAAAATGTCAAAAAACAAACACGTATAAAATTCAAAATCAAATAAATAAAAGAATAATTAACACAGACAGATTTCAACATTTAAAAACCAGATCTTACTAGCACTGCATCATTCCAGTCTCTGAAAAATCGACATGTCTTTTTTTGGATGGGGCAGGCAGACCTTATTCTCAATGATATAAATTAGTGAAAATTTATCTAACTCATGTAAAATCCTCTCGCCTTTTCAGGGCCAAAGTCTCTCGCTTCAGGTGTTGGGGGTGGTGGTTCCGAGCCTCTCACTTACAAGATGGAGGTGGTGGTGGTACCAGAGGATGGCGGGGTGAATGTTCTTTCGTATGGTCATTTACCTTTCCTATTTACAGCATAGTAATCGTCTGTGGCCTGTTTAAGCATCATGTTGAAAAAGATGCTAAACAGAGTCGGTGCCTGGACCCAACCCTGTTTCACGCTATTGATGACAGGGAAAGGTCTGGATAGATCACTGTTGAAACTGCGTTGGCCGCGCTGGTCTTTGTGCAGTTGGGTGACCATGCTGAGGAACTTTGCGGGGTAGTGTGCAGCCGAGGCGCTCTATCATCCTCCATAGTTCCTTTCTGCTCATTGTATCAAACGCTTTGGCCAGGTCCACAAACGTTACGTACAGTTCTTTGTTCTGCTTCTGAAGCTGCCTGAGAATGAACACCATGTCTGTGGTGCCCCTGTTAGTTATGAAGTTTCTGGTAGGTGGTCTTCAGCAATGGTAGGCACCAATCTGTTCAGGAGAACGTGAGCAAAGATTTTTCTTGCGATGGAGAGCAGTGTGATCCCTCGGTAGTTGGAGCAATCTGACTGTTCTCCCTTATTTTTTGTACAATGTGACGATGACCTCATCGTGGAGGTCATTAGGAAGTTTGCTCTGCTTCCAACAATAGACAAGGATTTCGTGGAGCTTGCTGTTCAATGCTGCTCATCCATCTTTCTAGATCTCTGGTGGAATTCCGTCTACATTAACACTCCTCAACTGCTCTATGGCTGGAATGTCAGAACCATGACGCAATTCACGGCAACCGATCTGAACGTCGCTCAGCGCTGATCGCACGTGAACTGCCCAGGTTAAATGTCTACATTGCTGCCCTTAGCAAGGTCCGCTTCCCAGGCGAAGGCAGCCTCTTCTGGTCGGGGAAACCTGCAACAGAGGAGCGTCTTTCAAGCGTCGACTCCATTTTCATCATCTTGGTTCATACATTGGCACATAGACTATAGTCTTGTACACCAGCAAGACCACAAACCTTCACACCAAAGTGATAACCAGTGCAGAATATCACACCGACCATCGCCTAGTGCACTATAAATTTAGACTGCACTTCAAACCCAAGGAAGGGTGGGCTCCCCGAGAAAAATTTAAATCTGATCATGCTTCAGTCAGCTGAAGTGAAAGCTGACTTTCAGGCAGGCCTACGGTCCAAGCTTGAAAACGGCGGCTGCCCAGTAGACCTCTCTCCTGAAACACTCTGGGATCAGCTGAAGGCTGACATCCTGAAAACGCCTGAAGATGTTGAATGTAAAATAAAGAGTTTTCCTTTATTCTACATTCAACATCATCACTTCATAAGACACCAGAAGTGTTCAAACAAAATGGGTATTTTTGTAGTGATTTTATAACATGTTTATAATTTTCGAATAAATTATATTTGCTCTACTCTGTATTGAGCACTTTTAAGAATAGTATTTTTGGTTATTGTGTTGTGGATCCCGCGTGAAAAATAGGTATCCAATAAATGACAAACGCAAGTATTTAAGCTAAGAAATTAAATGTATTTATACAAAATACAAAAGATAATGCTGTTAGTAAAATCCAGGAACACGGTTAGTAGCAAATACAGATAGATATATACAGTCTCGAAGTAGGACTTCCTTAGAGTCTACGTGCTTGTAACTGACTTCTACAAGAGGTTACTTCACTCTATCCGACTACCGACACTCACAGACGACTCCGGTACGACTCTTGTACGACTCATGTACGACCCTTCTTCTCTGCCTGACTGTCGCTATTTTATGGCAGCAGGACGAGTCCATTATATTATACTTGCATATATATATATATATATATATATATATATATATATATATATATATATATATATGTATTTCGACACCAATCCTCTTTTATATAAGTTTCAATAAAGACAACTGATAATTAATTTTTTATTTAATTTATTTAAGTATTAATAATAAAAAAGAAAAAGCGAACACTGAATAAAATCAACTATGAACAAGACCACAATGTGCTGACCGTGTTCGGAAGATAAAAACACTCCTATAACTCTAGATACGAACATAAAAAAACATATATTCAGTTAAAAGTAAAATAAAAAATCACCCTTGATAATGGCTAAAAGAATAGACATACCGAACTTTCGGACAATTTTTACCTACTTTATGTTCAGAAAATAAAAAATTATAAAAACACAAAAAAAAATAAAATAAATAAAAAACTTAATCCCAGTTCCTTGTCAGTCACCTTTAATGAAACACACACGCACACAGAGAGACACACAAACACGTACACATACACGCGCGCGCACACATACACACACACACATATATATATAGATATATGAGAAACTGATTTGATATAAAATATCTGAACAAATTAAGATGGATTACGTGAAAGCCAGTAGAAAGGTTACATTTTTGAAAATTTTCTGATGTTAACGTTTCGTTCAATTTGAGCATAATCAGAATAACTGAAAAAATTGTAGAAAAAAAATCGTTACTATGAAAATCTTGCTACTTAGAAACGCTATGGTTAGTTTATATATATTTCGATTTGTTTTTTCTTTTTAGTTGAAATCCCATATAGTACTCAGCGTTCAATTGCTTTAACCATGTGTATTTTTAATTATCCACTTGAACAAATCGTGGGGCCCACTTGTTCTCAACTTTCAAAAAAATCTGCTTTCAACATTTCCTCTCGGAGAGTGTCAATGGCTTTTAAGTATTTTTGTCATTTGTTTAATGAATATGTACAATGTTAACATATGTTGGACGGGAGTTGTGAGACGTCCGGAAGGAAATCCCTAGTTTGATATGTGTCGGTATAGATATCACATCTTTGGATACAATTTCGATATCATAGGACGAAGAAAAGATATCAGGAGAAATGTTTTCAATATGTCACAAAATTTAACGACTTTACAAATACACACATACGATGTGTTAAACACTTTGTGTTAATCGCAAACAAAATTATCATACAGTATTTCTTCAGAAGCATTTAGGCAAAAACAATCGTGTCACATGTGTGTGTTTGAGTTTTTATAAAAATTGTTCAATAATATCAGTTTGAAGTCAAGTGAAAAATACTTTTTAAACTTAATCGTGCTTCTTTAATAACTATTGAAGTATTTTTGTGGATAATGTTAAGTTTTTGAACAAGCGCTTTCGGACCTTCGTCTAACCATCTTTAAGTTACACAGAGATCCTAGTATCCCGGTTAATATTTCTCACATCAAGAAAAAAGAATATTCTTGCGGAATATATTTCCCTGACTGTATACATAGGAATATATTAATATAGGCAGATATATAGTTTCGAACAGAAGATTGAGATAGATAACAGATAGATCTGAACAGGTGATATATATATATATATATATATATATATATATATATATATATGTGTGTGTGTGTTTGTGTGTGTGCGCGCACGCGTGTGTGTGTGTTACTTCAAACGTTATTATAGTGAATACAAGTATTTGAAAAAGACGTTTCGTTTTTATTTTCATTTTGAACAGTGTGTATTACGTCTATTACCCTGCGTATTCGATAAATCTCAACAAAGGTAATATCCTCTCCGGTAGAGATCGAACTTGCGACCTTCTTTGTAGGAGAATCAGCCGATTGAGCCGGTGTGCTTTAGTATTTGGATATAGAGAGCGTCATGGTCTAGGAAGGCTTCATTTTCCGTTTCAAAGAAAGCACACTTCCTCATTCGGCCATTAATTTCTTTAGGAATTGCTTCATCCAGATATTGTTTTCGAAAGCTCAATTTCGTATCCGAAACGTAAAATATGCAACTTCTAAAGAATTAATGGATTTATTTTAAGTCCGACATGTTTATTACTTTAAACCTTATTATAGTGAATACTGGGCTGTTTGTTTGAAACACGAGTATCCATTATAATACGGCTTGAAATATTAAAAATGTTGAAAATAAATCAATTATTTCTGCAGAAATTGCATTGTTTACGTTTTGTTTATATATATATATATATATATATATATATGAATTGGGATCAAATACGGATTGAAATTATATATTATTTGTTCCTTATAATATATATATATATATATATATATATATATATATATATATATATATATATATATATATTCAAACTGTTTCCCGCATCATGATTGTTTTGACGTTTGTATCCGTAGCCTTTCTCCTGGTGCTTGTTGTACTGATTAACATTCAGCGATTTTCAAATATTCAGCGATTATCTTGTATTAGTTCATTCCTCTTTTATTTTCATCTTTGTAATGATATGTATCTATATACCTATATAATTCTTTGATATAATATATAGCGGTATATCTATATAATTCTCTTACTTGACATATGGCAGCATCAACACTGTATAACAATTTACCACTGCGTATTCATTTATTTATATATTTCGTGTAATTAGATAAAATATTTATCTACCTTGGTAAGCAGGTATGACTATTATTTTTAAAATTATTAACTGCAATTAAATTTACTTTCCATTAATACTATATAATAATTTCCTTTGTGTATTCATTTATATTTTTCTGTCACACTCTATGCAATACACAAGACAAAATTAATAATGTTTATAACTTTTTCAATAATATAATAGATTTCTTTTAAATAAAAGTTTATAAAATGGCTTATCAAAGGTACTCTCTTTAAATATTAATGCCTGCTTTATCATATATGGAATAAAGTTAATGACTGCTATACATTATATATGCGCAAAGTATATCATAAGACCTATAATTCTTATTCTATCATATGTGAGAACATTAGAAGAGATGTTTAATCACCGACTGTTGTAAAACAACCTTCATTTTTGACTGCACGGTGACGCTATTTACATATACGTATGTCTGTAGTTTCACGCTTTCAGTCATTAGTGCAAAATTAATCATACTCATAATTTCAGAATTTCTTTTAGCAAAAAATATTTATTACTGTTAATTTTAAATTAAACTCTTCCCGCAATCTTTCGTGTAGATACAGGCCATATTTAATCTGTTGAGAAAAAATTATATTTGTATTTTTAGACGGTCAATTGTATCTATGATTCATTGACTACTTTTGGCGTTATATAAATCTCTTTTTTGCTCAATATCTTGGCATGTCAAAATTGTATGTGTTTAATATAACAGTAACTCATAAAGGAAACACGTCCCGAAAGGGGGAAAAAGCAACAGAACGGAAAAGACATCGATGACGAATTCTATCTTAAGACCCTGTTGAATCAAGACGATCACTTAGTAGACAAATGTATCTGAGTGCCTCACAAGAAAGGCTTGGACAAATAAGACTGTAGTCTATAATAAGAGGATTAATTAATTAAAGAAAACCTTCACAAGAATCGTACTGATAAAGGAATTAGCTAAACAGTTCATCAGTATGTTCTGTTTAAGTAGTGAGTTCTGAAATGATTCCTGGGATCTACAGCGAATGGACTGAGGATCATTTCCCACGTTAGCTGTTTGATATCAAAATTTAAAACAACCAAGGAAATCTTTTTAAAACAAGTTATAAGAAGAAACGTAGTAGTAGTAATAAGAGAACTATATATATATATATATATATATATATATATATATATATATATATATATATATATCGGAATACATGTAATTGTTATGTAATAATAAATGTAATAAAACAAAATATTTTAAAGAAACGTAGTAGTAAAGTAACGTATTAATTAAACGGTTGATTTGCCTCTCGTTGCGAATTCTGCATCTTCGCTTTATTTATTCTGAATAGATCGTTTCAAAAACTTTTGTTTCATTGCATCCCATAATTAAAACTTTTTTCGATGACACAAGTACACTAGTACGTATATAATTCTCTAACCTGATATATAGAAAATTCTCTAATATAATATAACGCAGTATACATTATAAAATTCTCTAATATGGTACATGGTGGTATGCCTATATAATGTGAGAAAGTATACCTATGAAATTATCGAACTATGATAATTTAAACAGTTACTGCTTGTATGAATTAAATATTAATTCGTATATGTCATAGTTAGAAATTGTTTTTGAACACGGCACAAAATTCATACTAATTTGAACTATTCGTCACCAATCAATACGCACATCATTCATCCGTTGAAAAATAGAAATAATATTGTGGCTAATATATTAAAATGTTCACATCTGTGTTATTTACCCAAAAAAGACCTTTATATAAACAAACATGCGATCGCGTATACACAAGTACGTGCACGCACGTGCGCGCGCGCACACACACACACATACACAGTGGAATGTATATTATCTTTTATTT